TAATTCAACACAACGGCAACAAGGCACCCTCTCTTTAAACAATTAAAATGCCTTTATTGACATGTCATGTTGAAGTTAGACCTAAAAACAAACTACAACACGTTTCAGCATCAAGTTTTTGTCAGGAAGCAGAAGTAAGGGCACTCATACGGACAAAAATCAGAGTACCAGCTCATTTCAGGCACAGAGTAAACTGAACTTGCTCAAAAGGAAAACATTTGAATGTAAATCTGCATCAAATGTTTTCTGCTGCAGCGCATCTTCACCGACAACCTCAACATCTTATTCACATATCTGACACCGATCCATTTATTTAATACGACAGCTGAGGGCAGGAGACACAGATACATTCCCCCAGCGAGGTCACGCCACATCATTTTTATCCATTATGCTCTTGTCAACGATGGTTGTACTACAGCATATCTTAGTGTGGGAGAGTTATCTCTGCGGCACATTCGCTAATTTATGAACTTTCTGGGGAGTACCGCTGGAGCGTAAACACACGGATGTGTTGAAGGTGAGGAAATCCCAACACTGAGCTCCGGGGGGAAGCGGGACGGGAGCGTGGGAAAGAGAGAAGGAGGGAAAAGGAATAATGGCGCAGAGACCTGAGAGTGTTGAACAGATCCCACAGCTTGTGGTCAGTAGGGAGTACACCTGCGAGAGGTGTGGAGCTAACATGTCGGTCACAGAGGCACCGAGGACTTATAACACCTCTGAGTGAGAGGAGGAACTGTGGAGAAACAAGCAGTCTGAGGGGAAAAAGAAAACAATTTCACCTATCCCAGGAGTCTTTTTACCCCAAATACAAACATAGAACATAATAAAAACACAGCATAGCCGCTGACACATGAACACATGTGGGCCTGGGCACACAAAACATGCAACACCTTCATTTAATCTCGGTGCGAGTGGTCAACTGCTTCCCACTGGAAACATCTGTTTATACAATCTGACTGACTGGGTGTCAGTCTGGTTTGAGCGGTGAGGTGTAGCAGGAGTCACTGCGGTAGGAGGAACGGGGGGTGGGGGTAATTCTTCATCTGTGAGTCCGAGGAGGAAGGCGGAGGTCAACAATCACTCATCTTCTCATATTGAACATAACAGCCTTCGCATGGCGAGCTCACACCACGAGGGTTAAGGGGGTGATGGAAAACAAAGACCATCTGACATATCGCAGCCTGGCCCTCAAAGTGGGTGGCCAAATCGGACAGCCGCAAGACAGGGAGGGGTTCACTGGATAGCCATCTTGTGGAAAGTTTCTGTGCTGTTGGTCTGACTCACTGGTCTGTATGGCATCTCTGAGCAGACAAATACCAGCTCTTACTGTTTGAGCAGAGGATCAAAGAGGTTGAGGAACAGCAACAAAACCGAGATAACATCCATCACAATGCCACAGTGCTCTCAGAGAGTGATAACAACAGAGCAACAATCACCACTGTTTGTTTGCAGGTTGCTGTGTGACCCTACAAACACTCCAATGTGTCACTCCTAGTGTCCTTTCTTAAATAGATAGTTAAAGGACCAGTGTGTGGGATTTAGTGGCATTTAGCAGTGTACCCCCTCGCATCACCCTACCGTTCCAAGCATGTAGTAGAAACTACAGTGGCCACGAAACCTTCTTCACAGACAGTGTTTGGTTTGTCCATTCTGGGCTACTGTAGAGAAATATGGTTCAACATGGCGGCCTTCATGGAAGAGGACCCGCTCTCTCTGTAGAAAACAGCTCATTCTAAAGATAACGTAAACAAAAAACCCACAACAGTTCTTATTTTCAAGTGATTATACACTAATAAAAACATAGCTATGAATATTATATTCAATTTCTGCTAATAGAGCATCCTAAATGTTACACACTAGACGCCATTGCTGTCATTACATCATTATCAGGTCAAAATCTTAATTTGCCCAGCATTTATGTGCCTACAGAGCTGCTAGCATGGTTGTAGACTCTTAGTCTGGTTAAGAAACATATTTACCTGTTCAAGCAGCCGCCTAACTACAAATCTTATGTTATTGGTGTTTAAACATCCTTCCATACAGCACTTGGTTTAGTTTAATTTTGAGAAATATACCTAAGTGCTAAGAAAATGAAAATATTCAACAAGGTGAAATATCACTTTAAGACATTTGGGGCTACATTCTTCACACCTATTTGCTCTGGCTGCTGAGGCCTGACCGCTGATGGACTGGAGGAGCCCTGAGGAGCCCCAACACTTCTCCTTAGTTTCCCACTGTTAGAGAGCTGCAGAGTTTGGGGGCCCTCAGGCCTAACACTGTCTCCATTATGCTTAACCATTTCCAGCCCCACCTTAGCCCTTCAAACAGCCCCGGGGACCATAAACACAGGGGGGTCACAGAAGAAAAAGTCCTTCCACTTCAATCCCCATGCTTCTGTTTTCCAAGCCAGACTCAGGAAGTCGGTCTCTCTGCTGAGTTGGGTGTATGGTATTTGGCCCTCTTCTCTGGGGGGTTAAAAGCATTGTTCTCACTGTGTTTTGTGCTTGGGATGAGTGCAGTTTAATCCTAACTTCCCTGTGGCTCTGACACAAATTCTCCTGCAAACCCGAGACCTCGCTGGCTTCTTTATCCCCTACGCCCCTGGGGGCAGAGCCGTAGCTGTTGTGGGCACTCCAAGCTAAAACCCGATACCCTCCTCAAAATCAAAAGTAAGCACTGCTGAGGAACGTTGGCACCGGATCCTCTCGAGTTTCACATAATAAAAAGTATCAGGTGATATCATCCCCGGCTCTCGGGCTCTTGGCAAATCACGCCAAACGGCATGTGTAGGAGGTGAGGAGACGAGGGATGGAGACAAATGAGGGGAGAAGCTGAGTGAAAAGGAGACGCTGAGGACAAGGAGAAGAGGTGGGAAGCTGAGAAATGAAGAAGCGTGTTGCTATTGTCAGGCTGGCTTCGGGGGAGTAAAGTGAGATGTGTAAGGGCTTTCACTTGAGGACAAAGAGATGAGTGTTGGAAGAGTCACGCTTTTCTTATAAAACCTCACAAAAAACCTGTCCCAAAACACAGCACAGCACCAAGTATCCTGTAGACACAATAGGAGCTGACACAGGCAGGATACATAAAAACTAATATTTCATATTTCTGGAATAAACGAGTCCGAGACATCCTCAGATAAAAGCTGACGGTGTTTAGACAAAAGCAGAAATATATGAGTTTTTTTTTTCCAACTTCCTGGTAATAAATAAGAGTGTTTGATCCTCATAGATTTAATTTTAAGATTTAACCTCAGTAGCGGCTCGTTCCCGCTGATGTGTCCAGTATGGAGACAAAAGGACGTTGAGTCAAAAAGTACGAGATAACAGGAAGCGGAGCGCTGACATGAAGTCTCACTATTTTAGGAGCAAAATGACAAACGATTATTCTGTTTATTATCATACAGAG